TACTTTGTTAGAATATGCCTGCATTGAAGTAGTGGTTCTTTGAGCTTGTTCTCGTGTTAGTTAGTACGCTCGCAATGGGTGTGGTACCGTTGAGAGATTGTGCGATTGAGTGATGGTGCCATACAGGGAGTGGTATATATAGGAAGTGGTATATATATCTATAGATATATATATATATATATATATATATATATATAACATGTTATTTGGAAATAGGTTTTCTCCTACGAGGTATAGGGCGGTGTAAACCTATGATTAAATTTGTAACTTGTATTTAATTAATGTGATTACTGACAGTTAGAATCGGGAATTGAGGCGGGCCTAACCAAAGTCCGATGGCTCAGCCCGATTATTTGTGAGCGGAGCATATCTTTAGTGAGTTTGGTCGAGTTTGAGCCATTTTATTAAACTCGGTTTATTCCGAAGCGCAAAAAAATACATGAGCTGAGTTTGAGCCTATAGTCACGATGCCTAATAGTATACAAGAGTGAATCAACCTAAACGCGGCTCACATGGCACGGTTGCCGGCCATAAATAATTTTGTTTCATATTTTATATATTACATATATATTTGATGACGACACTTATTCATTTTTCTTACCGTAATGATTTATTATAAGCAAATTAGGGGAATGGAAAATGTGAGTAATTAAAAGTCCTACACCCCACATTTTTATATCTATGCACAGTTACTTTTTTGTTTGATTAAATCCTTTTCTTCTTCTTTTTGTTTGCTTAAAGTCGTTTTCTATTTCTTCCTTTTACACCACGCTTACATACGAACACACAAAAAAAACACACAAAAAAAAAAAAAAAAAAAAACCAACACACATATATACACCAAAAAGTACACCCACACACACAATAAAAAGATAATTTAGACTGACAGTTTAATTATTATATTTAATCTGAGAGCTTAGTTATAGATTATGATAGATTGGATAGTGAGCTTATTAGTGGAAAATGATCGACTAAAACCATTGACTAAAACCACGTTGTTAAAGAGATTAATTAGCGCATGGTTACACCACGCTTACATACGAATAAAAATAAAAATATTCATCCACTTTTACCCCCCAAAAATTAAAAAAAATTAAAAAAAATATTTTCTAGCTCTCACGAATAAGACTATATTACAAGTTTAATAAGACCCCTTGAACCCATATAATAAGTTTAATAATAATAAATAAATAAAATACAGTATTGTGACTATTATTTTATGAAAATATTTTTTTGAAAAAATAATGTCATATATATAGATGCAATAAATCAAAAGACAATTCTTGAAAAGTTCATTAATATCCGAGAATATAATTTTGTGACTACACCAAATTATATATTACTCAATAAATTTTAAAATGTTCTCCAAAGTTATTATATGTGTATGAGTAAATTCAAATCAATTTATCCCTATTTTCCCAAAGCAGAATATTCGGACTCTCCTAAATAATAATTCAATATAAAAAACAATTTTATATCTCCATTTGGATTAAAATATATATTATATAAAAATGTGCCCTACTGGGACATAAATTGTTTTCACTGTTGGTTTAATGGCTGGGGTTTCACTCTTTATCTATATATGAATCTCACTACCTTCAATTCTGCATAAGCCAATTTTCAAGAAAAAAGAAAAAGCTTCTTCAAATAATTCAATGGCTAGGGTTTCATTCGCAACATATAAAAACACGCACAAAAATATATATATATCCCCGTTTACTTGAAAACATCAAGGAAGCTTAATTAAGGACCTTGATCTATCTCTAAGCTTCTTTTATTTATTTTTTGTTTTTAATTTTTGGATCTGGTTTTAGTATACATATATATTTATAAACCAGTAAAGATGTTTTCTCTACAAAACGATAATGGCGGCGGGGTGGTATTATTTAATAATGAGGAGCCTACAATAGTAATTTCCGACGAGCAAGATAAAATCCTCGAAGAGCTGCTTGCAGACTACGGCGGCACTGAAGTAAACACCACCGCTGCAGTTCAAGAAAACAACAATGGCGGCACCAGCATTAGCGTTGAGTCGAAGAAAAGTGCGCATAGAGATATCGAAAGGCAGCGTAGGCAAGAAATGTCTCTCCTTTACTCTTCCCTTCGATCCCTTCTTCCTCTCGAATACGTCAAGGTTATTTATTTAATTAATTACCTTTTTTTTTTTTTTAATTTGAATATTTAAAAAGTTATACTTATTAAGATGTAGGCATTTGTGTTTTTTTTATTTTATTTTAGGGAAAGAGAGCAGTATCAGATCACATGCACCAGGCTGTGATTTACATAAAACATATGCAAACTAAAATCGAAGAAATGCGAATAAAGAGAGAGAAGTTGAATAAATTGACGAATAATGTATCAGAAACAAGATCAGAAGATCGTGTTATCATTGAAGCTGCAAATTCTTCGCCTAATTACTGTGTGGAGATAAATGTTTGCAATGGTGGTGGAATTAATGAGATTTTAATCAGCAGTAGTAGTATCGATAACGGGAGTTTTTCGACATCGAAGGTGGTCGACAAATTGCTTAAGAGAGGTTTGAATGTAATCAGCTGTGTTTCTACTAGAGTGGATAATCTGTTCCTCCATAAAATTCAGATTCATGAGGTGATTGTTTAATTTGCATATTAATTTAATTAGAACAAGGGTTTTGATATTATATATTCTTTAAAATATATATTTATATGATTTTATTATTTTTGCAATTGCAGGAAAATGATTTCACAAGCAATATTGATCTGGCCCAGCTTGAAGAGGAACTAGTCAATGTGATGAAACGTGTTTAATTATATATATCTGTCATCAGGATATCAATAATCAAGAGAAGTTAAATTGAATTGATCTTGAATTTTTAATTTGATTTTTTTTTTCAATTGTATTTTGCTGCTGCTTGTGAATTTGTGTGGTGGTGGTTTAGCGATGTGCGGCGGTGGTGGGGTTGCGGCGCCGGCGGGGCAGTGGTGGTGGTGGTGGATGGAGAGTGATGAAGAAGCTGAAAAAGTGAGCAAGGAAAACGAAAGAGGAAATAAATATTTTTTGTAATTAATGCCACGTCAGCATCCTTTGACTTTGATTTTGTATTTTCAAAAGTAAAAACCACTCTGCCAAATCTTTGTGTACCATCTTTCTCCACGTCATCAAAATCAGTTATTGTTCTTTTATTGGTAATAATTCCCCAATTGTTCAATTATTAAGATTTTTCATACGCAACAAAAATTCTTAAGATTAGGCACGTCACACCCTGTACTATATATAGCATCTAAGAAACTTCCAGGAAATTAAATGAATTATTAAATATTTCATTTAGTAGTTTTAATTATTAGATTTATTTAGTCAAAATGTATTCTATCATTATTAGTTTTAAGAGTAAATTTCACTTTCTCCTCGTACTTTGGTGTGATATCACTTTACCCCTTCTACTGTCAATTGCATCTATTTGCCCCCAATTACTTGGAAAATTGTCTCAATGTGGCCCTCGCCGTTAATTTTCAGACCTTTGACATTAACACCGGTTGATCTAAGTCTGAAAATTACAAAATAACCATCCCTCATAGTTTAAATAATTATTAAATAAATAAATAAATCATTCAAGAAAATGAGAAAGCATAGTCCACGATGCTAGCCACAATTTTTTTTAATTTTTACCCTATATTCTATTTATGTTTAGAATAAGTTATATGAAAAATATGATTCCAAAGTTTAATACAAGTAAACATAAAACAAAAAAAAAAATACAATGAATATCAATTATAAATACTATAATATTTTTTATGATGAAATTAAAAAGATTCAAGGTTGTAAAATAATGAATCAGGTAGACTTGTCTTAAAAAAACTAAGACGAAAAGGATATAGTTCATATAACATATAATCTAGGGAGGTAATTAATTGAAGATTTTAATAGCAATAAGGATGTAAGTGAAGGTTTTCATTTAGTTAACGGTAGCAATTGAAATTAACCCTATTTTATTTAAGAGCTGTTACTACCCAGTATTTCTATCTCAGAAATTACAACTCGACAAGTATATCTTTCTCATTCAATTTATGGACCATCATTGCTGCAAGAAATCCAAAGATATTGGACTTATCCCTGAATCGGCCACATGTTTAAATATTATATTAATTTCCATCCTACTTGTAAACCAAAATTTTAAAATAATTGTCACATTTGAAGTACTTGGCGCAGAATGAAGCCATGTCAAGTAGGCAGTGTATGTTCATGCAAGTGTGACGATCGAGTATGATATTTTTCTTTCTCTGCCAATACTTTTTAGGTCGACATATGTCGTTGTGCATGATTTGTCCAGTTACATATTTTGTATAATATGCGGGATATTATATAAGATTCGTATTTTCCGCAATATGTGACTTTGGTTGGTTTAACTCATTTTTTTTAAAAAGAATCATACAAAATAAAAATGGTAAATTCAACTTTCTCACGTTATATTTTGGCTCAATATCACTTTACCTCATTTTACTTTCGTACTCGAACAATTGTCTCAATGTACCTTTGCAATTAGTTTTTAGACATTTGACATTAGCACCGTTTGATTTCAGTCTGAAAATTACAAAAGAGCCATCCGTTCCAGTTTAAATAATTAGTAAATAAATTAAAAAAAAAATTGTGGTTGGCGTCGTGAACTATGTTTTCTTGTTGTCTTGAATTTTTTATTATTATTTTTTTTTAATAATATTCAAAGTGGGAGAGGTGGCGTTTTTGTAATTTCAGAACTTAGGTCAAACGGTGTTAAGGTTAAGTGTCCGACAACTAGCAGCGAGGGCCACACTGGGACATTTTTTCAAGTACAAGGAGAAAATCGATGCAATTGAAAGTATAAGGGAGCAAAGTGATAGCAAACTAAAGTATAGGGGGAAAAGTGAAATTTATTCAAATAAAAATAAAAGAGCACAAATGACAAATTGAATCCTCCAACTACCAGTCAGTACCAACTACAAGCAGCAACTGGACCAAATGGAAGCATTATGAACTACCGGTCGGTTAAGAACTCCACGGAAGAGAGAAGTTTTAATTAATTATCCATTTGCCTTTTAATGTGCATTTTTTTATCCTTATATGCAGCCTAACAACCAGACATAGAGATATATGTACATGAAGGAATTATTTGTGTGCGTGCGTGTGCATTATAAACAATGATCTGAATATTTGATCAGATATAATATATGTCTCCAGCCGCTGATCATTGATAAATTTTAACTATGTAACGAAACCAACTTGTGTGCATTATGTTATGCGTGATTAATTTGTTATCATATTAGTAAACTAGAATTAAATTCGAGCTAGCTTGAATGATTGAGATGAGCTGGAAATCGATAAAGGAGTTGGTGCAAGTATATATATATATTTGTTACTAGATGTTTCATTCAAGTATTCAATATATTGTTGAAGAATTTTAGTATCGAACATACGCGCATGCATGCAATTCCGATTCAACAATGTAGGTCGATTCAAGGACATGCATGTTTGAGTGATATTGGAGCATAAAGTTGGGAATCGAGTGTAGACAATCGGTTAGTCCCGTATGATCGATAAATTACACTGTCACCTTCTTTAGAATTATTCTAATTTATGTTAATTCCAATTCTTTTCAAATATTATATATATTGAATGAATGGTGTGTGTTTAATTTGCAGTAAAGCATGATTAGCAATCAGATTATGTAGGATTTAAATTATGAGGATAAGAATAAAGGCAGTCCAGAAAACCAGCTCATATATATGATCTTCAAATCTTCATAAGCTATTAATTATGTGGGATTTCAATGTATTTTATATATTATCTTACCTAATGAAGAAGATATACATACATGGGTTGTTTTATATGAATTAAATTTTATTTTAATATATAAATGATCATTATTCTGTTTTTGTACACGTGGATAAGTCTCCACATTTGCTGGAAAACAATAAGTGATTCATAATATAATGTACTACAATATGATCAAGAAATTAGTATGTGCTTTAACTTGGGTATAGTGGATTAAAAGGTCACAAATAAACATTACAACTACATAAAAGGCACACCCAATTTAATTAGATACAACATTAAAAAATATATCAACGCATATATAGGTGAGTTTATATATGCAAATATAAATATAAAATATGATTTTTTATTATAAGCAATTAAAAAATACACCTGGCATAGCAACAATACCAACATTATCTAGACAGGAAATGTTGCATATCTTCTAAATCTCATGAGTGGTGTCTTTAGCCAACTGCTCCACAAATCATGGATACCTATAATATATATTATGTGTGTGTGTGTGTGTGTGTGTGTGTGAGAGAGAGAGAGAGAGAGAGAGAGAGAGAGAGAGAGAGAGAGAGAGAGAGAGAGAGAGAGAGAGAGAGAGAGAGAGTTATATGTATTTATAGCTCATGGCCCATGCAAAGTTGAAGATAGAATTATTTGACCAATTACTGATGAATGTTTATGTGGAGCACATATGTACTAACTAGGGAAAACAATACATTATTATATTATTTCAATTATTCATATTTGGACATAGTGGTCAAAAATAAAAATCAATTTAAAATAACAACTATATTATTATTATTGTTGTTAAAATAAATCTATAACCAATTGATCATATTATTATTGAAATTAGACAAATACCAATTGATGTAATATTTTTTTAACAGAATATTATATGACAACTTTAAGCTTAATTACTCAATGATTAGGGTCAAGCTGTCTACAATTATTAATATACAGGTATTATATTCAAATATATATCTAAAAGAAACTTATAACAATTAAAGAAGCTGGTCCACCAAATGTGAATTTGACATCCTGCCAGATTCACATTTTTTTTAATACACACGAGTATAGTTGCCAAATCAACAGTGACACATCAATATAATTAAATATATAATATTGGATTACTTTCTAATTAATTATATTAGACCAACAGATTTTCAAGAAACCCTACCATTTAATAAATTAAGTACGTACCCATTAAAAGATCTCAGAACAGATTTTCAAGAAACCTAACATATCTTCCCACCTTTCCTTCTAATTATACTTCATTTTTTTTTTTATATTGAAAGTTCAGATCAGAAATTTAAATGGAGAGTACTAGTTCTTTCTCATTCTTGCAGCAAGAAGACGAGCTCAGAATCCTCAATTTTCCGGAACTCGCAACAATATGGGACGATGTCGGGTTCGATCAAATTCCGCCACCGAAATGTATCGACTTGGGAGATAACAAAAACGGAAAAATACCGAAGAAATTAGAGAAAAATATTATTGAAGATCAGTTGAAGAAAAAAAGATTGCACAGAGAAGTTGAAAGACAAAGGAGACAAGAAATCTCTACCCTTTATGCTTCTCTTCGTTCAGTCCTCCCTCCTCAACATATCAAGGTGAATAAATTAATTTCAATTAAAAACCTAGAAAAAAAAAAAGAGAATATAAATATATATATTTTTTATTGAGATGATAATTTGTACAATTTTTTTGAAGGGGAAGCGGTCGACAACAGATCAAATCGACGAGGCTGCAAAGTATATAAGGTATGTGCAGAATAATATTAAGGAACTGGGAATCAAGATAGAGAATCTTAAGAGATGGAGTACTAAAAATGAATCCGAAAAAGGAAACCCTAGCAAGATTTTGCCTGTTGTTAATGTTAATGTTACAGTTCAGACATGTTCAGCTGGAGTTGAAGTGTTGATCAGTACTAGTGGTGATATTCTTGCCCTTTCAAGAATCACGCAGCTGCTGCATCAACAAGGGCTTACAGTCGTCTCGTGTAGTTTCACGAAGTTCGATGGAAGGTTACTCTACACGATCCAATCCGAGGTATATATCAAATTAATTCGTTACATACATGTATGAATAATTTATCGAATTCTTGGTTTCATTATTAATTTTATTTTTTGTAGGTCCTTGATTATAACATTGCTGGTGTGGATATTCAGAATCTGCAAAGAAAGTTGCAAGATAAAATCCGAGCGTTTTATTGAACTGTGGATCGGAAGGAATTTATAATATCGATCAGCATTAGTACTCTTGATCGAAATCAATCAGATTGATTTCGTACTTGTAATTTACGTACGTATAACTTTTCGGGGTTTTATCATCATAATGAGTGCAGATATATCAGTTATCATCCAGCATTACCAGAATTTATACACTATATATACCACATTTAGTGCTAAAAAAAGCAGTTAATTATGGCCTAATTTATATTGAAGTTTTTCAAAAAATCATATCCATGGGTTGATAATCCATTTTTTAGCTTAATGTATTTGACTATTTAATAACATTGCAAGTTGTGTTGCCAACGGTCGATAAGTCGAGTTTGTCATTGTGACGCATGGTTAGCCTACTATAGTTTACGTCTCTTATATAATTTGCAAGCACTTATACGAGAATAAATTTCACTAAGTAAAGAACGTAAGCACCAAATGTTGAGCCCAAAAGTGTTTACCTTGGAGGCCCATATCCAATATGGGATATTTTGGACTGAGAATTGAATTAGCCTAACAAATTCATCAACGTCTTACAAATATTAAATATTGATTTATGAGACAATAACATCAATCAATTAATAAAATTAAGTAGGGAATTATCAACCTAAATGCAATTGTTTAATTTATTGGCCTAGCACAGAAGGTACAACACAGTGAAGCTCAGAGTCCCACGAAATATTAGCACCGCTAATCCAATTACTATTTTCACAGTATCCATATTGACCGTCGTCCAACGTCGGAAGTGGGACCCACGGACTCGGCGCTTCATCGACTTGTACGTTAATTTCCCCTGCTTTGTTATTGAGCGCCACCACCTCACTAAGTGGGTTACACTCGTAACCCAAATCCATTGCCGGTTGTGGCCATGCCAGATTAACCATGGTTACATTCTCCTGACCATGGTTGATCGTCTCTGGTGACCAGATCAATTGGGCCGGCTCACCCGGCCACACCAAACTCGGGCGGCTCGAGCCCACATGACCCATCTCTCGATCGGTTTTTTCGATGCATTGATCGTATGTTTGAACACGATTATTACTAAAATTAAATAGTGGGTTTGAAGAAGAAGAAGAAGAAGAAGCGTGGCCGCGCTTTTTGTTCAAAAGTTTGGCCTTGAGAACGCCTATGAGCCCGTCGGGTTCCTCCGACCGGCACATCTCGTCGAAAGGAAACGGTTCGGAGTTTTCGAAAACGGTCGAACCGGGTCCGGGTTTGGGCAACTCGAAATTGGTTCGGGCGTTGGCGCCCCTGAGTTGACGGGCGGCTTTATCGTAAGCTCTGGCGGCGTCCTCCGCCGTGTCGAAGGTACCGAGCCAGAGCCTCACTTTCTGGAGGGAGTCTTTGATCTCCGCCACCCACCTCCCCGACGGCCGCTGCCGAACTCCGACGAACTTGTGGTGGCCCCTCGACGAAGTTTTCCTCCTGACCCGCCCTTCATCGCCCGCCGGTGTGCTCTGCTTCATTATCTGTGTGCATACTTTGTGAGTTCTGATTTTCTTTTTATTTCCTCGGAATTTTGTAAGGAAGGAATAATTTTGTTATATAGTGGTGAATGGGTATCAATCAATCTTCGGGATTAGTGGACGGATTAGTAAATGTTAATTAATTAGAGCATTGTGATAATTATTAATTAGTACGATGATAATGGGATGTCACAAAGTGCAGGCCTTGTTCATTGTAACATAGAATAATCCGAAAATTTAATTAGTTGATTACAAGAAAACACTAAAACAATTGAAATTTATATTGTTATAATATTTGTTTGAAAGGGTCGTTTAGGGGGGCAGTTTGGTCCACAAGAGGGAAACTGAGGGAACAATTCACTGCTAAGAGACTTGTTCCTTTTTGTATTTTTCCCTAATGTTTTGTTATATATGTTAAATTATATTAACTATTACTTTGTCATATGTTATTAACTTATTTTAATAAATTTTTATTTAGCTATATAGAGATAACTGTTGCAATTTGTCCTTGTCCATAAAGCTCCATTCATTTGGCATTGATATACACGAAATATTGTTACCATCTTCTTTTCCTTGATCCTCTTTCTTGCACAATACAATATTTCAAAAGTTTTCGATTAAAAATTGTTTGGTAGAAAAATGAAAATCTTCTGGAAATGCTTATTTTGCTTCTCTGAAAAACAAACTAAGATCAGGTATGTATGTATGTATGTATGTATGTATCTTTGTGTTAACATATGTATGTTGGTGACTTAATTTCTATTTAATTTAATTATGTTTCTTTTTTTTTTACCTTGATTTTCTTGATGTTAAACTTTGATTAGTTCAACCAAGAATAGAGATTATCCGTGGGATATTTACACCCTCAAAGAGCTAGTTCATGCAACTAACAACTTTCACGACGACAACAAGATCGGTGAGGGTGGATTCGGAAGTGTATATTGGGGTCGAACAAGTAAAGGAGCCGAGGCAATCTTGTTATATTTATTTTTCTCATAAAATCTTGTCGTATCATCCTTTTATATTAATATATCTAATTAAATAAATAAAAAAAGAAACCCGAAAAATGATCTTGCAGATAGCAGTGAAAAGGCTGAAGGCGATGACCGCAAAAGCGGAGATGGAATTTGCCGTTGAGGTTGAAATACTCGGGAGGGTTAGGCATAAAAATCTACTAGGGTTAAGGGGATTTTACGCGGGTGGAGATGAGAGGCTAATCGTGTACGATTACATGCCTAATCACAGCTTACTCACTCATTTACACGGTCAACTCGCTGTCGATTGCTTACTGGATTGGCCTCGAAGAATCAAGATCGCAATTGGCTCAGCCGAGGGATTAGTGTTAGTACTTTCTCTTAATTCTTGATCGTAGTCTCATAGAACAATTATATATATTTAATTTTTTTCTGATTTTTTTTCCTTCCTTTTTCAAGATACTTGCATCACGAGGCGAATCCTCACATAATACACAGGGACATAAAAGCAAGCAATGTGCTACTAGACTCCGAATTCGAAGCCAAAGTAGCGGATTTCGGTTTTGCGAAACTAATACCCGAAGGAGTGACGCATTTGACAACTAGGGTAAAAGGAACCCTAGGTTATTTAGCGCCGGAATATGCCATGTGGGGTAAAGTATCGGAGAGCTGCGATGTGTACAGCTTCGGAATATTGCTTCTAGAAATATCGAGCGGTAGAAAGCCGCTGGAGAAGCTGGCTGGTGGAGTAAGACGGGACATAGTCCAGTGGGCCACACCGTACGTGCACAAGGGTGACTTTGACCACATTGTTGACCCTAGATTGAAGGGTTGTTTCGATAGGAGTGAGTTGAAGAGAGTGGTTTCGATTGCAATGAGGTGTACCGATGGAAACCCCGAGAATAGGCCGAGCATGGTGGAGGTGGTGGGGTGGCTTAAGGGCGGCGTCGGGAGGAGGAGGAACGAGATTAACGGGATTGTGAAAAATGATAGGGTTGATGAATATGACGACGAAGATTTTGTTCGCGATGAAACGGATTACAAGGTATTTGGGATGGAGAAATACATGAAAACATCAAGAAATAAAAAGATATAGAGTTGCAGTGTGTTTATAATTTTGTTTGAGAAATGTGTTGTAATTTAAATTTTCAGATGTGATCAATGAATTATTCATAGTGTTCGTGTAATAGATTGTGATGAAACAGTAGTTTAATTGAAAATTAGGTATGATCAAGATTCCACGAGGACTGTTGATATATATTACTCCAAAGACTACTATGAAATTTCATCTGGCTGGCCTTAATCATGCTACTACTTTTAATCCTTTGTCATTAATTAATGCTAATCATTAATTATCTTGAATTCTAGTTATCAAATGGGCTTTTGTTTCAAAAGTCTACTGTGGCCGACCTTAGTCAATTATAGAATTTATAATATTGTTTGGGAAAAAAAGGGAAAGGGAAAGGCCACCCACTTTTATGGGCCGGCTGCCGCTTTTAGGAGTGGACCGCTTCAAGCCTACAAGTTTAACATTTATAAAAAAAAAAAAAAAAAAAAAAAAAAAGAAGAAAAAGGTAAATGACGGTCACCTCAGAAGTATGGTTAAATTATGAAAAAAAATTAATGTTTGGCTAGTTATAATTAATATTTTTAACTATGAATCTCTTTACACGTTCACTATTGCGATGTTAAATTTTAGTGGAATATTCTCTAGTTTGTACCTATTTTATCCCATTCTAACTCCACATTATTTACCAAGATGATCATAATTAAAAAGGGTGATTGTAGTTACGCAAATATGAGGGGGGTTTCGTAATTTGATCTTACCTCAAGGGGTGGCTGTAATTTAACCAAAAAAAACTCAGTATTCTTGTTAATATCTTACACAACATATATGGGAAGATGCTACACCTGATTATTTATATTGGATGTAATCGAACCGTAGATGTACACATAATCACACACGCACACTCATATGTATGCGTCCTTAGTGAATAATTATTTAATCAAATTATTGATTCAAATCCAACATGTGTAAATTATAACTAGGTGTAGCATCTGACTCCCCCAACATATTTGTGGATATTTGAACAACTATGACTTGTATTTTAGGGGTGAGCAAGTCGGACCCATCAACCCGCTACACCCGTCAAACCCGTGAAAATGGTGAAGAACCGTGGGTTTGGGTCTTAGACGGGTTCAATTTTTTTTAATACACGTGAAACCCGTCCCGCCCCGCCATACAAAACGACGTCGTTTCGTTTACATTATATAGTATAATAAATTAATAATATTAATGAATAAATAAAGTATCTCTAGTGTATCAAATACATAAATCAACTAAACTATAATTGTGGAAGTAATAGCTATAAAGATTATGAAAATCTCTAAGAAAATGTAGGAAAAAAAGTATATATATACAACGGTCAACACACGGCAGAAAAAAAGGAAGAAAATGGTGTTGAATGGAGCTGAATAGCGTTGGTTATGCTTCAAAAAACTATATTTATTTTATTTAAATTTTGTCTTTTAAGTTATGAATTAGTTATTTTTAGTTTTATATTAATTTTTATTTACTCTTGACATTTACATTATTTATATTTGGTTTCAATTTAAAATTTTAGGCTATTCATTTTAGTTTCTAATTATTCTCCCGTAAAACTTATAAATTATATATATAAAAAAATAGTTTAGACGATAACGGGTTTCGACCCGTAAAGGTTGGGTCCTACTACAAACCCGCCATGGACCCGCATATCATAAACCCGTTAAAAACCCACAAGTTCGGTTCTTCAAAGTCCACCTATCATAAACCCGTTAAAAACCCACAGTTCGGTTCTTCAAAGTCAAAAACCGTTATTTGACGGGACGAGGGCGGGTTTTGATAGAACCCGCGGGTTTATGGCCCGCGCACACCCCTATTGTATTTAGCAGTGTTCTAAAAATCGACCGAGTCGGCCGATTAATCAATTTTCGAGGTGGGGGCTGTCTCAAACATTTACAATTTTAGTGAAAAAGTTTGAAAGAAGAAAAAAGAAAAGTCACTAAAACCTTATCCTAAACAAGTGATTGGAATTTTGGAATTGGAATTGTCAATTGCGTGCATCACTTTTCATAACAACGCAACACTCTGAATTTTCTCAAATTTATGGGTATTTAAATTGTGGTCTTAGGCATCAATCCAACCAGATTAAGACACGTCACCCACTTTTAGCTCTCTCTCCCACCACTTCTCAATTGCAATAATACACCAGTCAAGAACAATGGCGCCGGAGAAAATCGTCCGCCCAGTTTTCGACAACCCATTCCTGAACATCACAGTAAACCCCGATGGCACTGTCAAACGTGATCCGGAGCTCCGAAACCCGGCGAATTCGGATCCCAATTCCACGGTTCTCAGCAAGGACGTGACTCTTGACCCGACCAAAAAAACTTGGCTCCGTTTGTATATTCCTAATCTGGCTACTCCGCCACCTCCCACCGCCAAGCTGCCGCTGATTTTTTACTACCACGGCGGAGGATTTATCTTCTGCAATGCAGACACGAGCGTCTACGATGTTTTCTGCAAGGGTCTGGTTGAAAAACTCGGTGCTATGGTTGTTTCATTGGACTACCGCCTTGCGCCGGAGCACCGCCTCCCGGCGGCCTACGAAGACGCCGTCGACGGTTTTTTCTGGGTTAAGAACACCGACGACGAATGGGTAACAAAGTACGCGGACTTGAGCAACTGTTTCCTAAGCGGGACCAGCGCCGGCGGCAACCTGGCATACCACGCCGGACTACGTTTCGCCGCCGTGTCCGGCGACCTGAATCCCCTGAGAGTGAGAGGACTGATACTCCACCACCCAAATTTCAGCGGGGCAAAACGGACCGGGTCGGAGGAGAAGCTGGCGAATGACCCGTTGCTGCCGCTGTACGCCATCGATCAGATGTTCGATCTCAGCCTGCCGGAGGGGGCGGCTGATCACGACCACGAGTACAGCAACCCGGTGGCGAATGGCGGGTCGAAGAATGCGGATCTGATTAAGAGGATGGGGTGGCGGGTCCTGGTTACGGGTTGCTTCGATGACCCGTTGGTGGATGCGGGTTTGGATTGTGTGAAGATGCTGGAAGGCGAAGGGGTGGAAACTTCAAAGCTTTTCGGCGATGGGTATCATGCAATGGAGGTTTTTGACCCGGATATGTCCGGGTCGCTCTTTGATGCCATTAAAAGTTTCATAAGAATCGCTGATTAGGTTTATGTAATTTGGGCTTAGAACCCGGCCCGAATCGTATCTAAAATTTAATAAAATCTTTGCCCTAATGAATTATAATTATTCATAAATATTTATTATCTACCGGTTAGCTCTGCAATTCTTATTACAATCCTATGGGCTCTACATTTTTAACTTAAATTAATTTGGTATTGCTAAATATTGGGCCTTTGTCTTTTTATAAGATCTTGGGCCTTCATTATTGTCTACATTAAAGGAACTGGATATACAATTTGTCAAAGAATATCCCGGCCCACAAATTAATTAATTAAACAATATAAATAAATAATAAATAAATAAAACCAATAACATAGAAAATGAAATAGTCAAACTATTCGTGGGTTGGTATATTAATTGACATCTCATCAAAGAACAACCCCATAATCTTTATTAAGAAAACAAATTAAATAAATAATAATGATAAGTTGGACTTTGAGCAAGTAAAGTTTAATATTGGTGCTTCAACTTCAACTTAGACTGCAAGAAAGTAACATAAAACAATGAGGGCACGTTACGTTAGTCTAATGAAACAAATATTTATTTCATACACTAATTTCTTCAGTACTCAAAATGGCATCAATTGATCCCAATATTGATCCCTATGGCTACTTGGGAATCACCCAAAACTCCGACGGTTCCATCACTCGTCGGCCGGAGTTTCTCGCCACATGCACCGCCGATTCCGATCCCAAATCTCCGGTCCTCATCAAGGACATTCCCATCAATCAACAAAACAACACTTGGGCACGCCTCTACCTCCCCGCGCCGGAATCCGGCGCCGCTCCGGCGACCAAACGGCCCCTCCTGGTTTACTACCACGGCGGAGGATTCATCCTATGCAGCGCCGCCAGTTCCATATTCCACGCCTTCTGTTCCCGACTCGCCGCTGAAATCCCGGCGTTGGTCGTCTCCGTCGAGTACCGTCTCGCCCCGGAACACCGCCTCCCCGCCGCCTACGACGACTCCGCGGAAGCCCTGGATTGGATCCGAACCGCCGGCGACGAGTGGCTGACTGACTACGCCGATTTCTCCAATTGTTTTCTGATGGGAACCAGCGCCGGCGGAAACATCGCGTACCACGTGGGTTTGCGCGAGTGCGTTGACGTTGACCAGCCGAAGCCTCTGAAGATCCAAGGGCTGATACTGCACCAGCCGTTCTTCGGCGGTGTGGAGAGGACCCCGTCGGAGATAAGGCTGGCCGGCGACAAGGTGCTTCCGCCGCTTCTGTCGGATATAATGTGGGATCTGTCGCTGCCGGTTGGGGTTGACCAGGACCACGAGTACTCCAATCCAATCAGAGCCGTTAGATTAGATGTGGTGGAGAAGGTGAAGGATCAAGGGTTGAGATTACTGGTGACCGGCTGTGACGGTGACCCGCTGGTGGACCGTCAAATTGAATTGGTGAAGATGCTGAAAGATAAGGGAGTGGATGTGGTGGATCAATTTAGCGATGGTGGATTTCATGGATGTGAGATTTTTGATGATTCTAAAGCTATTGTCCTTTATGCTGCCCTAAAGAAATTTGTCCTAAATTCTTAATTTTAATTTCCCATTTTTATGCTTTGAATTGATTCTAATAAGTATAAGTTGTACCTTTAACAACTTCCTAGTGTAATATTTCATCTTTTATCAAATTTAAATATATATTTTTTTAAGGGTTAATATTTGAGATACCCATCAAACCGAACTTAATTAGATGTAAGGAAAAACCTTAAATATCATATTTTAATTAAATCCTTAGTTGAAAATAAAATTTGACCAACATCCTTTTATTTTTTTTAAACCCAAAAATATTCTTATTAGACCTAATAAAAATTAACTTTTTCTTCTCTCTTTTTATGTCTCTATTTTTCTCTCTCTCTCTCTCATCCGCCGCCACCATCGTCTTTTCTCTATTTTTTCATCACCTCCACCATAGCTTTCTATCTTTGTTTCTTCATTCACCCAACTCTTCCTCTCTTTCTCTCTATCTCTCTCTTTCTCTATTTTTCTTGACTTGGAGGTATTAGTTATAGGAGTTTTTTAGATCGGATCTTGGTGTGGGGGTGGCAGGCGGCGGTGGTTTTGGTCGCTAGGGGGCGACGAGCAGCGGTGGTTTTGATTGCTGGGGCGGCAGAGGTTTTGATCGCGCCGGGCGGTGGTGGTTTTGGTCGTTGGGGGCGGCAACGGTTTTGGTCGCTGGCGTCGGTGGTGGTTTTCTTCGATGACGACAGTAATTTTTTTGTTAGAATTTGATGTTGGGTTTGGAGAAGAGGAAGGCTAATTAAGATGGAAAGTGAGACATAGAGGAAAAAGACGGAGGTGGAGGTGGAGAAGGTGGTGGTGGCGGAGGCGGATCTAGGGTTTCATATTGGATGAGTGCGAATGACTACGAGTGTCTATGAATTATTATGAGAGTATACGAATGAGTAGCGACTAGGGTTCAAAACGAGAGTATGTGACTACGGATTACTATGGTTCCTATAGGTGTCTATAGTCGACTACAACCGATTTTTTTTTAAAAAACATTCACGATTTTCAATATCATAAATTATAGTATACCATCGTACACCATAGTATACCATAGTACACCATAGTATTTTTAAAATCTGTTGTTTTATTTAACAAAAACGAAAAAAAAAAAAAGTAATTTTCAGTAAAACGTTAAAAATAAATAAAAAAATAAAGTTGTTTATAATAATGTAAGAAAATGTTGGAGTGAAAAGCAAAAGAATAAAGACGACAAAGTCGATAATAATAAAATAAAATAAAATATGTTAGATGAAATATGTAGCGCCCCACCCCGAGTAGCAGGCACCTCGTGGCGGAACACCACTCAACATGCAGTACATTCAATGACCCCAAATATGCTCCTCAAATTTTCAATGATCAAAACATTAAACCCCCAATATCTATACCATCGTGTTTACAAAAGGATGTTCTATTACAAGTCGATTTCGACACCAGTTACTCTATTACAAAATTCTCGATCAAACTATTCCTATACGGAACATAAATAGAGATACCTCTCGACGAGACTAATCGGAGGCATACACGAGCTTTAACTCTTAGTATGAAAATTTAGGTCTAAGTCTTTCTTTTACCTGCGCATTAATATCAGAGAAAACGAATAAGTCCGAATGACTTAGTGAAAAACATATGATCCATGAGTATGATGAGAATCAACATAACATAACATATAACGAGAGACTTTACAAGAATTTCATTAACAGAAGTGTAACATGTACAAGAGTGTAACATGTACGGCTTGAGTTCAATATTTGGTGGGGTCTCCAACCTTGTAACTCCCAACAAATAAAATCATATCACATCCTTATCCCTCCACTCCGTTCCGAGTGGCCACTCGGTCGGAAACAAGCAAGAGGCACGACATGAACGTGCCGATTCGGCTCAAGAACATTTAACTCTAAACGAACGTGAGTCCGAACCATCAGGAGGTATACCATTCGGGAGACCAGTCATTGTCAGCCCAATACTGCCCGATCGTCTTGCCGAAATGGTCCTAGGGCCCAGCTCCCCCAAGAGCGTCCTCAAGGGTGGGGACAATAGGTTCAAGAATAAATATCATTTCTTTTAGGAATATCAAGTCATTCATTTCAAGAATCAATTCAAGAATCAAGTCAATCATTCACAAGATAAGTCACGATCATGATAATTGAATATCAAGTCTCAGGATAATGAACATGTTCAGATTTCAATTTAAGCCAATGAAGAATTGTCGTGAATATGGAATTCAAGAAGAACAATAAATTCCATGTCAGGTTCCAAGAACGAGTATATCAAGATCTCGATATATTCAATAAACATGAGATTCAAGTTCGAGCCAACAAAATATTTATTCTCGGAAGGCATTCAAGACAAGATTTTGAGAATAAATATAGTTCAGTATCGATTCAAGGAAAATGTTCAGGCCAATGTATCAAGTATAGGAATTAGCCGTGAACATAGCAACCAAGAGAATTTCAAGGACAAGATCAAGGTTCCAAGTTCGAGCCCAGAAAACAATATGCTCGCAGAACATTAAGGATCATATTTCAAGAACAAATATAATCACTGTATCGAAGGCTTCAATATATACAAAATATTCGGTTCAAACAAAGGCGATATTATGCGCAGGAAAGAAATTGGATAAGGAGTCATAGTTTCTCACCTGGAGTCCAACGCTAGTGTTATAGAAGTGCTATAGAAGCATCTTTAAGCTTAAACCTTGAGTCAGAGTTTTACTACGCTCAACACCTATGCAAATATTAGAACTAAATAAGATTCCAAACAGTAATATAGCCATATTACCATCCACTATATGACATAGTCAATTTCTTAAACATATACTAAGAATTGCTTCTCGTGGCACTCTATTCAAATAATCATTGCGATCGTCGTACTTATACGAATGACCTAAATGATATATAAAGTTAAAGATAACATTTGTCTCTACAATTTTACTAAAGACTTTAATCCCAAATTAACAACATAAGCCGTCAATTACAACCCCGAAAGATGAATACATAAACCTGCCAGATTTTCGGGATAAGTTCGTTTACTGTCACAGCCCGTTTGAAAAATCATAACAAATTGTACGGTTATCCAAATTGTCCAAGTAATACATCAAATGAAACTTGGAAGTTTAATCTACAAGTTTCATGAAGGCACATAGCCCAAATTATGATCCGACCATATCGAAACCAGTCCCGCAAAAAGATACTCAAAACTGCCCTATTTCCGGCAGATTACTGTCATCGGATTCCGACCTCTAAAACACGTATATTAAATATTCTAATTCGGTACAATTGAACACTTACTTGTAGTTTACGATCTCCTCTACGAGTTTCCTGAAGGAACTGATTCCAAATTCGCATTCGAAACCCTTCGATTTCGGCTCCGAAAACAAGTGCGGCAGCAGATTTTGCTTCCCCAAAATCGCATCGAGCAGGCTGACTTCTCGCCAAACTCCGGCGACCAACGTCGGTGCAAGCCATCGAGCTTCACCACCAACAGAAAGGTAACATCATAAGGTTTCTAATGATGGGACCTGATCGTCGAGATTCCACTTTTAAGGACTCCGTTCAATTAATTCTTTGAAGGACCAACAGCTGAAATTCGGGTTCTGCACGGCTCGTTTTCTTTTGCCCGATTCCAGCCACCACCGCGCGTCATCGTCGGTGAAATCCATCACCACAAGGAAGCTGCGTCTTGAGATTTCCAACGGCACCTCCCAATCAACGGAATTAAATCTCTAAGGGTTTCAGACCTAAATTCTTTAGACCTAAACTTGGTGTATTAAGAATCCTCTCATATTACTCGAGTTTTGCTATAAACTTTCTGCAATTCCAGCCCAAGACACTACTAGAAAATTGTCATATAGTGACGGACAAATACGTCGCTAAATCACTAAAATCCGTCGCTACTTAAACTTTAGCGACGGATATTGTCCGTTGCTCAAAAGATCGCTAAATGACGCGTCTCTAAAATTTAGCTACGACTATGCTCCATCTGTCGCTAAACATTAGCGACGGAATAACCCGTCACTAATAATAAAAAAGGACGTTGCTAACCTCTATCAATAAATGTAATATATTCGTAGCTGATCCATTACTAACTTATCACTAAATCCGTCGCTAACCGAAAGAAATATTCCGTTCAGAGAGGGGTTCATCCATTACTAAATCCGTTGCAAAACTACATTAAATTTAATAAAAAAAAATAAATAAATGAATCCCATATTTTGATAATGATTTGAATATATTATACATAAATAAAAAAAAAATGAGAAATAATATTACATAGAACAATTCAACAAACAATAATACTAATATCATAAATTTTGATTACAGATTCTAGCAAAAGTTCGAAAGTATCGACATAGTCGAAATCAAAAATTTCAGTCCTATCCTATAAAGCATCTACATTTCCTTCGTAATAAACAGAGTCTGTATCTCCATTATTGTCGTCTTCTTTTTCTTCCTTTATTATTCTTGCAACTTCATTTCCTTCTCATTCAACTTGTGTTTCAGACTTTGTCATCTAAACAATACATCTTTGTCTTAAATTTAGCCTGATCCAACACAAATTTACGTAATAAATACACATTAGATCACAAAAACAAAAAAAAAAAAAAAAAAATCAAGATGAATGACTTCGCAAAGATGAATATTATTTCTAAAAGTTGAAGAAGAAATTTTGTTTTTGCTCTCGTTTTCCTTTCAAACTTATACAAATCCGTTTACGAAATAGGAAAGAGAATGCATAAACAAAAAAACAAACAAAATATAAATAAATCGGAGTGTTACGAAAATACCTCTATTATCTTCTTAACACATTTAGATGCAAGCTAGCCATGACACAAAACAACAATTTCAACCTGCAAACCAAACGATTAAGTTATATTTTCAATGGTTAAAATGTTAACAGAACATGAAATTTGCACTTGTGCGCTTTCAAGTCTAACAACTCTATGTTTATTCTCCGATTTATTCAACAACTCTGTACAAAACTAAAGACATAATTAGGAAAAATAAACATACGACAAATCAATATTATTTTGATGTACTAAAAATGATTTGCTGCATATAAAATTATACAGAAACTCAATACAGCTTTATCCAATTTTATTTAAGATGAACATGTAATTATAATATTGTGACTATATAGGTGAACAATAATTT